CCACATGGGGGAAAGCCCCTTTGAATCATTCCAACTTGAAAACGTAGAAGTCCCCCCACCACCAGCAGATAAAATCTGCTTTGGGAGCAAAAGAGATGGACTGATTCAAATCAGCCTTTGTGTCATATCGCCAGTAAAAACATTTCAAATTCACCCATTTTATAAGCGGAGCAAATTCTAAGTGTATTCACAATCTAACATGGTTACTTCTACTGAGTGAGCTCTAGAGCATTGGCTCCTAATCAGGGGTCCCCATATGTTGTTGAAGTTCAACTTCCTGGTACTCTATAGAGGATCAACCATTTCAACAGTCCTTTATCCACTATTCTAGGGGTCTCCAACCCAAGAAAATGAAATGGCAACAAGTCATGAAAGAAGAGTTACAATCCATGGATGACCATGTAGTGTTTATAGAAACCACATTACCACCAGAACACAAAGCAATTAGAAGCAAATGGGTCTACAAAAGAAAAATACAGATCAATGGGGAATATAGGTACCCTTGACACATGTTTGTTAATACAACCCTCTAGTGATTTAAAATTAAAAGTTTATGTAGATAGTGATTGGGCCAATGACATAGCTGACAGGAAATCAATTTCAGGTTTCACAATAAAGTTTGCTGAAACATTGGTGGGATGGAAATCAGGGAAGCAAAGTTCCGTTGCCACATCCACTGCTGAGGCAGAGTTTGCTGCTCTTTCAGAAGTGTGTTCAGAGATAGTGTGGTATAAGCAATTCCTTATAGATCTAAAAATTAAAGTAGATCAGGCCATAACAGTGTTTGAGGACAACACCTAATAATAATAACAAGCAAGGCACAATCTGTTGACACCCAACAATGTCTAAAGGTAAAGGCAAACCTGAAGGGGGCAGGCGCCTGGCCTGGGCAGATACCTATAACTGACAAACCTTGATATAAGCTCTGTTGCTTCGTAATTTCCATTCCTGCCCAGTTCCTTTGAGGACTATTGCTATGATTTACTTACTGGCCCAGTAGTTATCTACTGACGTTGCCCACATAATCAGTAAATTTCCATTTTGACCACCTGGCATCATTTCACCATCTCAGGCACCTCCTAGCCCCCCACCATTATAACAGGCAGGGATTTGCCTGACGTCCTGGATGGTCAGATAGATGGAGATAGGAGACTGACAGGTGGCTGGAGATGTACAATTTCTGAACATTTCCATTTTTTTTTTTACAGAAAAACATACATACTTAGAAGTGTTTTCATTATATATTTTTTTATTATAAGAAATCTGATGTTCTTTAGAGATGCACATTTTTTGAAAATTTCCATTTCCTTCCCCCTCCCAAAAACAACAACAACACCTTTTCCCCCAAGGGAAACAAAATAGAAATTTTCGGAAATTTTAAATCTCTAATCACACCAAAGGAGAAAGATAGTCCACAGGATATGGTGACAAAGCTATCCAACATGCACATAATCTCCTTGGGTCTCTTCCCGTTTGAGCAGCATTATGTGAGGACTCTATTTCGACGTACCCTGCCAAGTACCAGGGCTTTTGGGTCCTCATCCAAATTCCCAAATGCCCCTCTAAGTGCAATTGTTGTCCTCTGGTGTTCATGGCATGCCCATTTCATATACACAACCTGGAAAAGCTAACATTTGGATTACGTCTCCTCTAAGTGCAATTGTTGTCCTCATTTTTAATTGACCCTGACTCTGATGTTCATGGCATGCCCACATGACCTGGAAAAGCTAACATTTGGATTACGTCTCCCACAATCCACCATCTAGCCTGATGATGGGAGCTGTAGTCCCAATGTCCATTTAGGTCATCCGTTCTTCTCTCTGGCATAATGTCTTAGTTCTGCAGGCAGATTACATAGGGATGCCATCTTTGGCTCGGGGTGCTCCTGGGCACACATGCCTCTTAAAAAGGAGGGAGGAAAGGGGGTAAATCCTGTGGATGGCAATGGTACTTTCTTTGCAGAGAAGACAAAGCTAGATGACCATGATGTGCAGAAGAGTCCACAAATTAAGTGATTTGAAAAAACAGAATTAGGTACATTTGGAGAAAAAGATAGGCACAGATGGCACATACCCATCCAGGGTGGATAAAAGTTGATGATCTTTTAAAAATCAAGTTGATTAAAAAAATTTAAAAATCAATCTTTTTATTTAAATTGTCAAAAATTCTGATTAAAAATTTAAATCATGATTTAAATCAATTTAATTAAATTTAAATCAAATCCAGCCTGCCCCCATCAAATAGAATGAGGCAGCCCCCTCAGGCAGCAGATGCTTGTCAGTGAGAAGTGATAGTAGTTTCTGAGTACAGAGCCTGCTTGTGCCATAGTCCTGGCTATGTTCCCTATGTTAGGTGTTCCCTTCCTCAAGTGGAGGTGCGTCTGAAGGATGCTGTCCTGTCGCCATTATCAAAGTAAGAGATAGTGGCTGGCTTCAGGTGTGCAGAATGAGGTAAGCTTGCCATCTGGTCTTCAGCTTGGACAGTACACAACGCCCGTCTGCTATGAAAACGAGGTGGAACCTCCCTCCAAAGACAGTACACACCTGTATACAGAGAAGAAGACAAATAGCAGAAGAAAGCTTCATGTCCTGTTTGTAATAATTCTAGAGGTAACCAGCTGGGCACTGTTCCAAACAGGATGAATGGTAAGGTGGATGCTTTGATCTACTAAATGATGCCATTTGTTCTTAATGTAGAGATGGCCCTTGTGCTGGGAGACAGACAGCTGTGGCTGGAGTGGACTGATCTGTGCATGGTTTCTCCCTCTGTTCTGCCTTCTTCTGCTGTCACTTGGCTGACTCAGGTCTCTTGCTTCTGTGACTTATCATCAGTTTTTACTCTCTCTGATCATGTGCAAAGCAGAGTCATTTTAGTGGGATTTCCTCTGGGTCAGCGCTTGTCAGCCAGCCATTGTAAACACTCTCCAGGCACATGTCAGTGGGAGCTTTGCCACCTGTACACTGATGTGTGCTGTTCAAAGAATGTGCTGTGTGTTTTCATCTTTTAAAATGAAAAGTAGAATTAATTTGCTGTAGGTGAGACTTAATCAGCAAACAGTGTTGATAGGTTCAAAGCAAACTATTAATCTACATTTTAGAGTCTATTCAACAATAATTAGCTCTATGACTAATACCTCCTATGAGTAACAGTCTTTGCCACTTCACTAGTAGGTTATCCATATTAACTACCAGTAGGGATGTGCACAGGAAAAGTTCTCCTCTCCTCTCCTCTCTTTTTTGACCCTTTCCTTTCTGGGATTATTTTTTGCTGCTGCCCACTGTATTCAGAGAAGGCATCAAGTGGTTCTTGGGAGAGAGGGTTACTTTTTGCTATTTTTCCCCTGTGGGTGGGTAGGTGCTTTCCATGTTTGGTTGGATCAATGAGGATTTGATGAGTATGCCCTATGTTGACCTATGTAACTTCCATTGATGCAATGGGCATACTCTATGTGCAGACTACAGGATTTCAGCTGTAGCTCTCTTAGGGAAAAAAATCATTTTATTTATTATTTAAATGAGAAAAAGAAACACTTGTCATTAACTCATTCATTAGCAAGAGAGGAAGAACAGAAGGAAAGCACCCTGATTTGTTGTGGCTGAAAAAAAAAATAAATGGAAAAGACTGGAAAACCACGTGATTATTTTTTAAATTTTTTTATTCATTTTCCATTGGGTAAGGGAAGATCATAGGGAAGGGGATTTGGATCAAGGTATTGGGGTATATAAAAAATACAGAATGTGATAGAGAACAGTATATATCATTATTACATTTGTCGATATGTTTACTAAACTTACTTCACACTTATCTTACCATTTTTTCCAAGCGTTTAAAATCTAAAATTATATCTTATATTTTCTTTCTTATAATATTAACCCTTTCATATTATCATCTCTCGTCCAATTATACAAAGGTTCCACTGCTAATGTTGGTTAAAAAAAAAAGATTAACTCTCTTTGATCCATGTTAACCGTCTGGACCACCAAAACAATGTGCTGCTGAAACTTTTCACCCACCCTGAGCTCATACATGGAACCTTCCTCCCGATATCTCAGCACAATTAACGTGGGTCTCCTCTTCCAAGGATGGCGATCCTTTTGGCAGATTTCTAGAAGCCAGTCGATGGCCAAAATCCTGCTGCTTAGCATAGTAAATCACCCTAGGGTAGGACCATTGAATCAGTGGAGTTTTATTCAGGTAACTCCTCCTCAAGTTCTATTGATTTGAACAGGCCTACTCTGTGATTTCCTAGGCTAAAAGAAGTCACAGGTAGTGTTCTTGTTCTGTGCGGTCAAGTTGGAACCAACGTATAGTGGCCCTAACAGGGTTTTCAAGAATGGTTGTATAGACCAGATGGGCGGGATACAAATCAAATCAAATCAAATCAAATAATAAATAAAGATAAATGAGGTATTTAAGGAACGGTTTTACCCGTTCCATTCCCCCAGCGAGTTTCCATGGCCTTCCAAACCCTGTTCTCCACAGTCCTGGTTTGTTGCTCTATTCACTAGGCCACACTGGAAATCCAGGGTAAGCCCACTTAAATCCATTCAATTTAAGGAGACGTTGATTCACTAAATCCTCATGTATTCAGTAGGCCTACTCTAATGCAATTTACTACAACAAACATGAATTTGGCCGGTGGGATCAACAGAGAGGGATCATGGAAGCTGTCGTCCAAAATTCCTGGCAGACCGAAGATTCCCCAACCCTGGTAGATCCTATACTGTGAATCTTCCATCATGCTTGCATGCATATAGTTTTCTCTCCCCCGCCACCCCCGTCTCTCCCCCACCCCGCTTGCCTAGAATTACAACACATAGGCATCCTTCCCTCCTATTGGGCCAAGGAAAGGTCCACACCGCCACCGAACTCTCCCAGCAGCCAATGGGACAGCTATTCCTGCTCAGCCTCCGTCCCAATGGGAATAGGGCTCGGCGTCTCCTTTGCCCCGCCTTTTCCGGCCTCACCGGGCGCGCCGATTGGGTTCCCTGGCGAGGATTTGGACAAGGCGAGTAGCCAATGGGAGATCTCGGGAGAGCGTCTTCCTCCACCTCCACCTCCTCCTCGTCGCCGCCGTCTCCTCGATGCCCGCCCATTGCTTTTCCAGCCCCGTTACCGTGGAATCGGCTGTAAATATCCCGGGACGCGGTGGCGGTAGAGCGGCTCGTGGAAGGGGCTGGAGGGCCTAGAAGAGGCAGGTAACCCGGGGTCTGGGGTAGGGAGGAGAAACGCTAGCGTGGGGCCACGTACGGGCTTAAGGGTTTGTGTATGTGGGAAGTGGGGGGTGGGGAATGTTTACGTTGATTAATTAATCAGTCTGACTTTCCACACCACCACCCCCGCCCCTCCCAGTCCTTTCCCCGGTCGGGCCACTGTCAAAAAAAGGGGCGGCAGGACACGTTGCCTCCTTCCTCTCCCGAGCTGCATCTCTTACAAGGCACTTTCTCGGCGGCTCGGACCCATTCGTCGGTTTTCCCTCAGAAGCGAGCCGCCGCGCCCGAGGGACGGTAACCGCCTGTATCGAGGTGCGAGCTGTCGGGCACAACAGGTCCCGAAAGCTTCTGCTCTGAACAAGTTGAGCTGGGAGGTCAGATGAAGCGGACTGAAGGCTCTGAACCTGATCCCAGATGCCTTTTAAAACAACGCCAGCCTTTGAGGTGCCAGAAGATCCTTTGTTTTTGCCGTGACAGATTAAACAACAACACTTGTAACCATCATGTGCCATGAAGTCAATTCTGCAAGAACCTTTTGTTTTTGCCGTGACAAAAACAATAACAATTATAATCATCGTGTGTCATGAAGTCAATTCCGACATGGCAACCGTTTTCAGGGTTTCCCAGGTAGAGGATACTCAGAGGTGGTTTACCCTTCCCTTCTTCTGGGGGGTCATCCTGGGACTGCGCAGCTTGCCCAGGGCCACACAGGCTGGCTCTTCTCTCAGGGAGGCACAGGGGGAACCTAAACTCCCAACCTCTGGCTCCACAGCCAGGTACCTAAACCACAAGTTATCCACATAAATATTGTAAATAAATAAATACCCCTTTGGAAACCTTTAGTATCTGAAAAAGTATGACATAGACACAGTCTGTACAAGACAGGAGGGCCTGGCGTTTAGTCGGACACGACTAAACAACAACAAGTAATACGTGTTTAGAAGTGTGTCTTATGTTAAACAGGGCTCACTTTTTTGTACCTAAACCACAAGTTATCCACATAAATATTGTAAATAAATAAATACCCCTTTGGAAACCTTTAGTATCTGAAAAAGTATGACATAGACACAGTCTGTACAAGACAGGAGGGCCTGGCGTTTAGTCGGACACGACTAAACAACAACAAGTAATACGTGTTTAGAAGTGTGTCTTATGTTAAACAGGGCTCACTTTTTTGCGGGTATTGTTAATATGTGTTTAGAAGTGTGTCTTCTTATGTTAAACAGGGCTCACTTTTTTGCGGGTATTGTGCCTTTAGGAGTGCTGGTCCAGATGCTAGGTTGTTTGTGTGTGTGTGTTATGAAGCATGGTATGAATCCTTGAGTTCCTATGACAACAAAATGCTCTCTGAAGACAACGTTTCTTTGGCCTTTGAGGCATTCGTATTTCCCCCTTCTAACCTCCTGCAATGGTCCAAGACTAGAAGGTGAGGAGAGACTTGTCTTGTTCTGCTTAATATACAAGAAAGTCAAGTAAAAAGCTTTAATCAGCTTGCTCATGATGCCAAGTTAACTTTTTTATTAAGTGTATGGATGGATTATGGTTGTTTCTACACAGCGTTGTTAGCATCACCAGTCAAGAGGCCTTGTGGAGCCATTTTTTTCCTTATAAGAATAAAAAAAGGAATAAAGGATGGGAAAACATAAGGAGATTAAAAACATAGTGGTGTCCTCACTTCCTATAAAATCATATCAATGAAGTAAGATGATTACACAGTAAAAAACTAATTTGAAAGAACGAATTGGATATACAGTGGTGCCTCGCACAACGATTGCTTCATACAATGATGAATTCACACAGCGATGGGTTTTTTTGAGGAATTTCCCCCATCGTTTAACGATGTTCTCTATGGGGGAATTTCACTTAACGATGTCCCTTTTTGCTCATTTAAAAGTGTCTTAAAATGTTTGAAACCTGTTTTAAATGCTTGGATTCCATAGTGCACCTTGTGAAACATGTGCAAACTTAATTTGGTTTTGTTCTGAGTCTTCATTAATTTTTG